CCACCTACTCCACCCTCAGGATGTGTCATGAAAATTGGACTGAATTCAAAGAGTGACCACTTCTGGTCACATTCAAGTTTTAAGCAAAGCTCAGCTATAAATAATCTGTTGGTTTCAGAGATATACAACTACCATATGCTCTAGAAATTCCACTTCTCGGTGTTTATCCAGAAAAAAAAGAAGTCATCATCTTGAATAAATATCTGAACCCCGTGTTCATCGTGGCATTATTTACAATAGCCAAGACATGGAAACAACCTAAGTGTACACTGATGGAGAAAACCCATACACAGTAGAATATTATTCAGCCATTAAAAATAAGGAAATCCTCCCATTTGGGACAACCTGGATGGATCTTACGGACATCACGCTAAGTGAAACAAGTCAGGCAAAGACAAATATTGTATGATCTTACTTATATATGGAATCTACAAAAACCAAATTCATAGAAACAGAGAAGACTGGTGGTTACCAGAGGTGGAGGGTAGCGGGTGGGGGAAATACATGAAGGTGGTCAGAGGTACAAACTTTCAGTTATAAGATCAATAAGCTCTGGCAATGTTTGTAATGTACAGAAAGGTGACTATGGTAACCAAAGAAAGCAACAACATAAAATAGATGGAATCTACCTTTGGCATCACCACTAGTAGGTTACAAATACATTTTAAAACATCTAAAATACGATTAAAATAAAATTACAGTTTGGGCAGCCCTCCTTCCCCTAACTGAAAAGTAGGGTTGCTCTCTGGGCTTATCTCACTAACTTTTAGAGGTCTCTCCTCAGGTCCTCCAAACTAAGAGATCCATTCATTACTTTTCTGTCCTGTTAGTGTCTCTTTAGAAAGACAGAGTTGGGAAAGACCCACTCGACCAGCAATGATTCCATTTTTAAGAGTCTCAGCAAACACTAGGATCCCAATGTATATCCTTGTGCCCAATCTTTATGTGAAAAACACTTCTTTGACCCTTTTAAAAATTTCTAGCACACAGGAACTCTATCTTATTAGATAAATTTTGATACAAATCAGTCCTATTATCTCCCCCAGGAAAACTTTACTTTCTGGATTTTCTATCTTGGTTAACAGTCGCACCAGCCATCCAGTCATCCAGACTTCCTGTCTCTCACCCTTTGGTCTTTTCCTATATTCAACAGGATACCAAGTTTTACCAATGGTACTCTCCCAATCCCCTTCAAATATATCCCTTTCCAACTGCTTCAGTTCAGGTCTTTATTATACTGGCTTCCTATCTAATCTCCCAACTTTATCTCACACGCAGTTGTCATATTTTAGTTTTCCAAAACACAGGTCTGATCATGCCACTTTGCTGTACAAGGACCTTAGTTAAATCTGTACTCTCAGAGGAACGAAGTGTGGACCTTTTCATTGGGAAGACGCAGACAGTGTGATACAGCAAAATGAGTGTACAGGTTTTTGACCCAAAACAGACCTGTGTTTCAATTCTGACTTTTAGCCACTAATTTAAATGTCTCTGGAATTCAGTCCTACTTTATTTAACAGAGACTGTATCCTCTACAAACTTTCAACTGACTGTGGTCCTTCTCTTGGATAAGGAGCGTCAATATCTCCTGAGGGCATAACAGAAATGCAGACCCATACCAGACCTACTGGTTCAAAATCTGTATTTTAGTAGAATCACAAAATAATTGGCATGGAGATTAAAGTTTAAGATGCACCACAAATTATTGTGAGTATTGTATGTTACCAATTATAACTTCCCATTTCCCTCTTCCATTTCTTTGCTTATTTTGATTCTTTTGTTAGGAATGTATTCTTCACTCCCAAATTATTGAAATCATGCTCAATTTTAAGTATCAGGTTAAAGGCTACTTTCTGTATGAAACCTTCTACACCTTATCAACCCAAGAAGAGCACTTTTTCCTTTAACTTCCCTTCCAACTTTTCATGTTTTATAAATTGGTGAATAGGTTTCCCTCACTAGACTAGAAGCTTTTTGAGGGAAGGGACAATGTCTGGTTAATCTTTCTATTACCTAAAATTTAACCAGTGTCCTATCTTTAGAAGGTTCGGATAAATGTATTTAATGACTAAAAATAGATCTGGAAAAGCTAGTATGCCCATGAGAGTCTTGGGAATTAACCTGGAGCTGTACATATGTAGGTAAAAGAAGCAGATGTCTTATGAGCAAGTGTCCAAGACAAGAGAAAGATATTTGTGACGTGTTTTTTCTATCTTCCCGATGAGTTAGGGATCCATGAAACCTCTCTATAAAACTCCAGAATCTGAGCCGATTCACTTAAGATTTCTTTCCCATTAAGACTTAGAGCAGGTCACTCCTTGAAACTCCTTTCTCCTTTATCTGTCTCTAGCAGTGATAACCAAATTCAGGTTAAATGACTCAGAATTTCACAGCTGGAAACACACTAGAAATCATCTCAATCATTTGCCAGATCTGGAAGCTGTGATCCAGGAAAGTGAAATCACTTGTCCAAAGTTAAATCAGCATGGCCCTGTAGGTTTGGTGTCCCGCAGAGCAAAGCAATGCAATTTCGATTCCTGGTCAGGGCACATGCCTGGATTGTGGGCCAGGTCCCCAGTTGGGGGTGCACAACAGGCAACCGATAGATATTTCTCTCTCTCTTTCTACATCCCTTCCCCTCTCTCTAAAAATAAGTAAATTTTTTAAAAAGTTAGTAGTAAAAAACAAAAGTTAAACAGTAAATAAATAATAGAGCTGACCTAGTTCTAAGCTCCATACTCTTTTGTGCTTAAACAAGTTAGCATTCTAGCACACATCAAAAGGAATGTGTAAAATACTTACGTTATAGGTATGTTACACATTTTTTTTCCAAACACATCCTCATGTCACTACAATATTGGTTCAAATTTAGTTCACTATGATATTCATTTTATTCTGTACCCATAACCAATGGTTCTATTTTAATGTGTATAAAGTTTACCCTGAATTATCTTTTTTGAGCTATATCCTGTTTATTCCATTGGTATCACTCTAATTTTTCATGGATTGTGATTTTAATCTAGTTTCCCAAGGGTTTAACCCATCTGACCTACTTCTCACATCTCTATTAATGATAAAGTAACATTAATTCTAAAGTAATCCTGTAGAAAATCAGCAAACCTCTGTATAAATATAAGAAGTAAATGATTTAAAACTGAAGAAAGAACACAGGCTCTACCAAAACACTGGTTATGAGTTTCTATGAGCTCAAATAAAAAGGAAACATTTAAGTTAAAATCTTACCTTTGAAGTAAAAAGTATAACCTAGTTACAAAAATATGTTAACAACCTCTGTAACATTTAATGAAAGGGAATTAAAAGCAAAAATAGTTAAAGACAGTTAAGTAGATGGTTTTACAGATCTACGAAAGGAAGCACTGGAAACAAATGGACTACACTGAAATAGAAAAGTCCAGGTAAACACAGGACGCATAGGTCATCTTCACCAACCACGTAACATTTTTTTGGACTGTTAATTACTTCTATATCAGAAGATAATGGCAAACCATATAAGGCATAAGAAATTGAAACAAAAATAGTAAGATGAGGAGCCTGATCTAAATCTATTAACCTCACTGATATGATTTTTAAAACAAAGTACTATTATGAATGATAAAATGACAATACATTATCTATCAATAACTGAATTTAAAAATCAAAATAAACAAGGATAGAAATAGACTCATAGATACAGAGAACATTTTTAAGGTTGCCAGATGGGAGGAGAAATGGGGGAGGTATGAAAAAGGTGAATGGATTTAGAAATACAAATAGCTAGTTACAGAACAGTCATGGGGATATAAAGTACAGCATAGGGAATGTAGTCAATAATATTCTAATAACTATGTATGGTATCAGATGGGTATGAGATTTATGGGGATGATCACTTAGTAAGTTATATAATGTCTAATCACTGGTGTGTACACCTGAAACTAATACATGGTCTGGTACAAATAATACCCCCTTTTATTACAGAATATCTTTTTACAAAATCGTAAGTATGTAATTCTGTAACATGACAATATCACACTCAAGCACACCATACGACATTTTAGGTGAAATGTTCAAATTAAAACCATAAATTATTACACCCATATTACACCCTACCAACCACACTCAAGGAGGCATTACTTCTGCCAGACCCTGTATAATACTGTATGTCAACGGTAACTGAAAAATAAAAAATAATAAAATAATAAAGTACACTAATTCCTTTGAAACAAATTTGAAACATATGCTTGGTCCATTAGAAATAAAATGGAACCGTTTCACACTACCCATATGCTTACAGTTTCATAATAAAATAGAGAACATAACCAATAGTCTGTCAAATTGAGATTATTAAAGGCACTTATCTGAGGTTCCTTAAAACAGAGTATGCTACAGGGCAGAGGGTGGGTGGCTGGGAAACAAAACCACCTGCAATTTTCAAAACTTCATGTATTCTGTCACATATTCAAACTCAATTACTCGTTTTTTGAGAGAGAAAAAATATGATTCACTCACAGGAAATGGCAGTGTAGAAGAAATCAGGATCTAAAAGGAAGGAAAAGTACAAAAAAGAAAAAGAAAGAAAGGAGGGCAGAACACAGAGCACCTAGGAAGACCAAGGGATGGACCCGGAACTGAGGTGCTGCCGCGTCCCAGCCTCTTGGTAAGCTACCTTGATACCTTGTGCTACCTCCTGCTTTCTCTGAAATCAGATGAGATTTCTTAAATTCTCTTGACTTTATGCTGATTTTTCTACCCTTAAGAGAACAATTAAATAAGCAGTATTTTAAAGCTGGGAGGCAGGCTCCTGTTGTTAGATTATGAAACTTCAGACTTTATAGACGCAAAGTCTATCAGGACTCTTCTAACAATGCTGAGAATTAGGGTCCTCATATAAACAAGTAATTCATCCATATGTGTTAACCCACCATTGCATGTATAATTCATAAAAAACCTTAGAAACAGCATTAATTAGAAAAAACTACGGACATAAACAGCATGCACAGTACCTTCTGATAAACAATGGAGCACACAAGATCCTTGACAGCAGATAAAGAGAGTTCCTGAGCTTCGATGGTAACACTCTCCCGTGTAAGGCCAATCTGCAGTAGAAATGAAACTGTATGCACTGAACCTCTGGAGTTGGTGAGCGAAGGTGCACTGAAGCTTCCATTAGAGAGTCGGGCGGAGAGTCCCGTCTTAGGACTTGAACTTGAAGAAGGAGCTGGAAGCACAGTAGGTAGAGTTGCAGGTAATACAGACTTCTGGGCTGATGGAGGGGAATTATTTGCAGACATCTGCCTTTCTTTAATCTTTTAAAATAGTTGTCAATTCTTTTTCAATGGTTATGAAGAGGCTTTTAAAATCTCAGCAGGAAAAGAATGACTGTACTTTTAGATTTAATTGAAAACTTATTTCCTCTTTTAAGCTACTCATGCTGATGACTGCAAGATCTACAACTGTGAAATGAATTCACAAAAGGTCCTACTTCCTTTATTATCAGTCCCATCAAAAAAGAGTCTTGGCTTTAGGACCACAACCAGGGATTTGGAAAGGATATAACATCATTGAATTATCCTCATCAGAAAAGAGTTGACATTGCTTACTTTCTAAACTTCTTCATCTGTTTCCTTTTAAGTTTTATTCTTGTCTCTCTCTTTTAATTTCAGAAAATACATACTGAATAAAAGTTGTTTTTCTGTTAGGATGAAATCCTCCCAGTTAAAAAAAAAATAGGTGTTTAGGATTAATCTATTCAGTACTTATCCTTTGGTTCACTGATTTGATGGGGTACTTTCTCAAATGTCCACACCTTAAATCACCTTCTCAAATGTCCTCATTTTCATTTTTAAGGTGGGTAAATATTTCCATTATGAAGTACAAAGCTTTTTAAAATAGTACAGGCATATTTCATTTGATGAATGGGTCCATCGAGAAAAGCTGATTGTTTCTGAGATGTAGTCAGCCTGAAAAAAAATTTTTAAAAACTTTTAATATTTTATACTCCTTTGACATTATTTTAAAAATGCAAGAATCCCTATAATTTTTAAAATGATAATCTTTGGTTATGTGTTTATAATTCACCAATATATCCTAATTGGTAGCCACTTTTTTTTGGTCTAGTTATCGGAGCCTTTTTTTTTTTTTAACGGTACATGTAACTTCAGGGAGAGCTGCCTGCTCAAAAATACTAATACCCCAGCATTCCTCACTAGTACTTAAAATTGGAAGATCACACACTTTTATTGCACAATACTTGTACATTGTTTATTTCACAACACACAACTGAGTTATAAAGGGGAAAACAGAGAAAAACAGAAGGGACAAAAAAGAAAAGTAAAACTGACACTCTCATAGAAATAAAATATACCACTCAGCCATACAACAGATAGATAACACTGTCCTAACAGAGACAAATTAGGAGTATTTTTTAATATTAAAAGTCTAATTCTGCCGAAATATAATTCCTGACTTGCTTTGTTGACAGAAATCTTTCAGAAGTCTACGAAAGCTGGTGGGGATACACTATACAGTTATATGGCCAACAGGAAATGTGAAAAACATACTTATGTCAGGAGCTTAGCAAAAAGTGATCTCATAATAAGACTTCAAAAGGTTTAAAAAAAAAAAAGAACAGTAGGCACCATTACATCTGTATAACACTTTTATAAAAGGATAGTTCAAAACATAAAAAGGATAACCCCACCCCCTGGATGGCTAAGTAAAACAGCTCACAATAGATGAACCTTTTTAAATTCCATCTACATACCTGTAAACAATTCCAAAGATAAAAATGAGTGAAGCATCCAGTGTGGTTACAGAATGACTCTCTGGAGAATAATTACTGGGGCTAAATTAATTAGGATGAACATAACAGAACAGCAAAAACATACAGATACAGTATCAGGAATGAGAAGAAAAACTAAGGCTTGGGGGAAAAATGCCTAAAGATAACAAAAGCTTTTATAGCTACATTCAAATTAATGATTATTATCCCACCTTATATTGTAGAGCACTTGAACATTTGCAATGTTTCACGTACTTTATCTCATACAATATCTCTTTGGAATCTGACAGGGCAAACATCATTTTTGCAGGTGAGAAAACTGAAGCACAAGGAGATAAAACAACTTGTGCACCATGGCTATTAAGAGGTGGGGAGGGCACTCAGACCCAAATTTCATAAAACCTACTATTTCTCAACAAGAACAAGGAACTGAGAGAATCACTGCTCAGAGAGGATGTCGTTAAGGTTGAGAGAGCATGTAGAGAGCGCAGAATTGCTCAACTTGTATTTTGTTTATCTTTTCTCAGTTTTTCAACTACAGTTATAGAAGATCATTGAGAACTGAAACCCAAGCCTGGTGAGTAAGAGAGACTAAAACAACTTTATATGGGTGTAAATCTCCAGGTCCAGATGCAATCCATCCCATACTGCTAAAGCAATAAACACGTGTAATCACAAAGCTGACTGCTAGAACCATGGAGAAATAGCTCAGAAAGAGAGAAATAATCATGGCCTGGAGATGGGCCAGAGCTGCTTCAAGTTTTGTGGGCTGGGGAAGTGGAGAAGCAGATTTCAGAAGTTACAGACATATAAATTTAATATTAATCCTTAGTCAAATCTGAGAATAGATTATGTATGGAGTGGTTTTTGAAAACCTAGGGAAGAATGTAATGATTACTAGATATCAACATGAATGAAACAGAATAATGTCAAATCAACTGCATTTATATCTTGAAAAAGAATGTTTACTAGATTTCTTAGATGAAGGAAATAATAATAATAGCTCACAGTTACTGAGCTCTATCTGCCAGACACTGCTCTAAGCACTTGACATGTATTACCTCCTTCAATCCTCACAACAGCCTATCTTATGGTTGCGAAAACAGAGGTTTAGAGATTACTCACCCAAGATCACACAACTGGCAAAGCAAGAAAAAAGTGTATTCTGACCACAACAGTACTCAAGATGGTTTTCCATGTGACTTTTGTACATATGTTGCTTGAGTGTGAGTTGCATAAGTTTGCTGCTCTATATTAACTTAGATGAAAGAAGTTTTTAGAGAGTGCCTTGGAAGTCTGTCCTTGGCCCTATACTGTTTTATATTATTTATAAGATAAAGATGGAAGACATGCTTATAAAATCCTCAGATTCTACAATCTGGGAGAAATAAACTCAAATTAAAGTGAAATGTAACAAGGATGAGTGTAAAGCTTTGCATTTAATTTCAAAAAGTTAAATGTGCAGGGGTAGAGGTGGAAGAAATAATAAGAGGGATAAATGGTAATGAAAAATACAATAAAAATAAAATATTAGAAAAGTTAAATGGGCAGCCAGAAATGGAGAATTGCTGACTTAGAATAAGAGGAGTATAACAGGAGCTGCTAATATAATGGGTGACTAAAAGAACTACTGCTGGCCTAAACCCTCAGGATACCAAGAACACACCGGCACAGATGTGCATACTGGTCGTCGGTCAGCCTACTTTTCCACTGTATTCAGTCTACATTTTCTAGAGCTTTACTGATTTTTAATTTAAAACGATTTTTTTATTCTTACTTACCCAAGGACATTTTTTCATTGCTTTTCGAGAGAGAGGGAGGGAGGGAGAGGAAGAGAGAGAAAGAGAAAAACATCCATGTGAGAGAGAAACATTGATTGGTTGCCTCCACATGCACCCAGACCAGGGCTCCAACCGGCAACCTAAGTATGTGCCCTGACCGGGATTGAATCTGCCACCTTTTGTTTCCAGGATGACACTCCAACCAACTGAACCACACTGGCCAGGACAAAGATATACTGATTTTTAAAAATAAGATAATGGTGAAAACAAGGTCATGTGACAAAATATGCTTAACAAAATCAAATAGAATAATGGACTTCAAATATCTGAAAAAGTGGTAAGTTTTACTCAGCATCCTGCAAAGCGCAGAAGTAAAATGAAGACAACAGCAGTACTTAACTTACCTCACAGGTTGTTGTGAGGACTGAGCTGTGACGTGCAAATACCTACATAACAGCACCTGGCTCACAGTAACTACTCAGTAAGTTCCGGCAATTTTCATAGTGTTTAGATGAAGGAATTAACAATTATGCTATTTTATGCTAAATAATGAAATCAAGATATGATACTTCATTAGACTTTTGCAACAACCCTAAGAGATTTAATTCTATTTTACAGAAAAGGAATCAGAGTTTCAGAGAAGTTGCTGCTTGCCCAAGACTACATAGCTAGTAAGAGATGGAACAACAATTCAAACAAAAGTTTCCCTGACTCCAAAACCTACCGGTATGTTCTTTCTACTACTTCATCCCACCTCCAACAACCTAACAATGGAACAGGTTTTTTTTGTGAGGTAATGAGCTCCTTAACATACCTGATTTGATAGTTTCAAAAAGCTGAACTGTCATTAAAATAGTAGTAAAATATCTACGCATGTTAAGTACTATAAAATACAAGATAATGCTGTGTTCAATAATAATAATAATAATGTATTTTTGATAGATGTCTTCCCACTAAATTTCCATCTTATTGTATCTATTAAAATTAGCCAAATAATAGTAACTGTCTAGTAATACAATTTATTAAGTTATCAGGATTACTGATAACTATTAATAAACTATGTAAATGTTATACTTTTGAACAAAAAATATTTTTAAAAGTTTCAGCATGAACACAAATAGAATAAATTAAATGAGCTGGCATATTAGTTTCTGCCCACTCAGCCCATCTGGTTTTTCCTCTCCCTGTTTTGTTTTATGGAACTCTGATTTGCTCTGTAAGATACAACAAGATGTAGGGTACAAAGTATTGAGACTAAATATGAAAAAAATCTAAAAGCTCTAATTTATTTTGTCTTTACACCTTAATTAGAAAAGAGGGACAACAGTACACATCTAATTTATAAATTATACATCAATTAGGTATAGGTTTCTAACATCTATGAACTGGCATTTCTAATATGCTTATTTGGAACATCCTGAATATTTTTGCGGGGAGTTTTCAGTCCCATACACCATTCAAATGAGGTCATATAATCTGTCACCATTGCGGGATAGAATAAAAAGATAGGATACCTTGAGCCCCACTTGCCCTATTATTACAGACAAGACAAAAAGTAAGGCCCTGGAGTGTAGAGCACTTAACTGAGGGGTTACTTCATGGTAATATCACAAATTGATCTTTCTCTCCCTCACCTCCCCCCACGGGTACATTATCTCTTAGCAAAGCATCTGAGAAGAAGCTCTAACAGCAGCATTTTTATTCAACAAATATTTACCGAGTGCCCGTTATTTGCCAGACCATTATGAAACACTAGGATTATGGAGCAGTGACCAAAACAGACATGGCTCCTGCTCTTTTTGGAGCTTACAGTGTGATGTGGGCCACACACATTACACAAATATTCACATAAACAGCGAGGCAATTACAAATTATAAAAAGTGACATGACCAAGTACAATACTAACAGGACCTATTTTTGACTTGGGCCTCACGTAAGGTGTGCCTGTAAGGAAGTGTTATTTAAGCTGAGCCCTACAGGATAAGTAGGAGTCAGGGAAGCAGAGAGTGAAGCAAAGAGGATTCCAGGAAGACAAAATAAATACTTCAAAAGGAAGCATATGATTTAGTTTAGCCAGTGTTCTATTTGTCCTCAGTAAAGGCTAAAGTGAAAAGGTAAAATGTTTTTTCTATTCAGAATACCATATTTACCATGACTCTATACCAGTAATAATAGGTTTTCCTGTTCAATTCAGTTTTGTGTGCTAGGAATGCAAATGAACGGAGTCTTTTTTTTTTTCTCCTGTTGATATGTGCAAGTATTCTTTCAGCATGTAAAACAGCATGTGACCTTTCTTAACTCGGGGAAGTGTCCTGAAGTCAATGTCCATGTTTTGCTCTGATCTTGGCTTGACTTTGTCAATAATCCTGATGCTGCTTTTACATCACATGGTGTATAAAAATATTCATATAACTTTGTTGTTGCTTTTAAAAAGCACAGTTTGACCCTGACCGATGTGGCTCAGTTAGCTGGGTGTTGTCCTGCAAAGCAAAGGGTCACTGGTTTGATTCCCAGTCAGAGCACATGCCTGGGTTCTACATTTGGTCCCAGGTCACTTGCCTGTGAGAGGTAACCAATTGATGTTTCTCTCCCTCTTTCTCCCTTCCTTTCCCTCTCTCTAAAAACAAATAAATAAAAAGCATAGTTTGTAGCAATCCTTACATTTATGTATTTTCAAAAAGATAACTATTGCCTTAGATTTATATAATACCTTTTCTGCTAAGAGCTCAGCATCTGACTAAATTGTTTCCACTAAAATCCTGCTCATGTGGAGCAATGGTATTTGAATCTCAGCCTTCCCACTGTCACAGACAACATAAAGAGAGCTCACCAGGTCTGCCCTCTGCTCAGGCACTGAGATGTTTACCCAGTAATGAGATTACAGCTGCCCGTCTGGCAGGTTGTAAGAATCTATGTTGGACTTGAAGGATCTTCATCACCAATCTTGGCATCAGTGGTATCTAAGAAACCTGATTGGCTGATAGCCGAAGAACCACTTCTCTCACATACTGCCACTATAAACAAACCACAGAAGTGGAGAAAACTTTTTTCTACTCTGTATTGAAATTAAAGCATTTCCTAAGTACATTACCTCAGGTTTTCTCCACTAATGAGACAACTGCCCCAAAGAGGCACACATACAAGTTCAATCTGAATTACATAATTGGAGAGAGTATCAGCACAGAACATTTTGGATCATAAGCATGATTATTAAACACAATTAAAACTTGTATTAACAAATAATTTCTCCATATTTCAAGTTCTGTAACAGTAGCCTCTTTTAAAAATGAGCAATTAACTCTAATATATTTTCAACAACTTTAGAATGTCCTTTTAAAAATAAAACATTGTCCCTTAGAAAAGTGCATTTAAATGACTGACCACTATTCATTTTTTCCTGCATGTGTTTTTTTCCATTCTTTTATAATTTTTAAAAATTAATATCCCAAAACGAGATCAGGCTCTTTCTTATTTGAGTGTGACAATGTTTAAATTAAAAACAATCCAGTAAGAGAGAAATTTTCTATTTTAAAGAGGTTACCGGATAAAACCGAAAGCTTACAAAATGTGTATATTTAAAAGACTCACTACTAACTGGGATGCCTAAAAAATTAAGTTTGAAGATATAAGCCAGTGAACATTCTTGAACTTGAGTCACCTAAAAAGTTAAATGCTATCTACCAAATCATTAAACCTAAGGTGGTAACTGCCTTGTCAAACACCCCACGTTCGTCTGATCAGGCTGACCACGTCTCCATTACCTACTGAAGCAAAATCGAACACGAAGGCTTCTGTGACATGTTTTAAATACTTTTATCAAAACTTGTAGCTTCCTTTTGTCTGAATTTCCAAGCTTGTTCTCAATCCAGATCCTAACAAGGGAGTCTAATGTAAAACTGGCCTAGACCTGGGTAGGGTCCCTTATGGATGCCTTCAGCAGCACATCCATAGGTATTTCCAGCCCTCACTGCGGCAGAAGTTGATCTAAGCAAAACCAGTCGCTAAACAAGTAAGAACTTCAGCGTTAAGTACAAAGTAGAAGCAGTTTACAAGTAATATGGCAGTAACATTTTCTAGGGTACAAATTAAGGCATTTAAAAGTTTTTGTTTCATTTAAGACTACAGCTCATTAAGTCTGGGTCGCACAAAGTAGTAGTTCAGGGTGGAACTTATCCTTTCTAATCAAAGATGACACTGATAGTCTTATTTCCTGTGGGGTTGGGTGTGGTGGAAGAAACAGTTATGTCCCAGCCATCAATCTGTGTACGGAAAAGTCTGCAGGTCTCACACACATCTGTCACTTGATTTATACTTGTGCCTGCACTCGGCAGGGCCTCTGCTTCTGATTGCGACGACTTCAAACAAAATATCCAACAGGCAACCGAGTGGTATGGGGTTATTTTTATTGCTCAAAGAAACGGTTGTACTCCTCAGTGTTTCATCTTAAGAAAATCCCGCCCCCCCCCACCCCCACCGCCCAGGGTCTGAACAACTGGGAGCAAGGCAACAACTTGCAAAAAGTAAACAGAGTCAGGAAACTGGGGTGGGGGGTTTACGTTCTCCAAGCACCATCAACTCACCCCGTGGACACCCGTACAAGGCAGAGAGGTGAAAAAAAAAAGACTCCCCCGAACCTCGGCTTGACTGCCGCCGCTCCGGCGTCGAGTGCTCGTCTGGGGACCAGGTGACCACGGGGCCGGACGCGGTGGTCGCCCGCGGACCGCGGTCCAAGTTGGCCTCCGCGCCCACGCCGGAACTTGGCCTGATCTGGCGGCCGCGCCGGCGCCCCCAACCGCCTCGGCGTCCACCGCCCGCGCCTCCCACATCGCGCTCCGCCAGTTTCCCGCCCAGCCCCAGCAGCCGCCGCCCAGCCCAGCGCGGGACCCTCGTCCCGCCTCGGCCACCGCCGCAGCGTGCGGGCGGGTGGGGGAGGGGCCGCCTTCGCCGCACCCCACGGGCCGCGAGAACAAAGCGGCGGCCGCGGCGGCGCTAACTTTTTCGGTGTCTGTTCCGCGCTCCCCGCGGCGACTACTTACAGAGGCGGGCCCGGCCGGCCGTGAGAAACTCCGCGCCCGCCAGCGTTCCAGTCGTAGACGAGGCGCCAGCGAGGCTTCACGCGCCTCGCAGGATCCCGCCCGCTGCTGGTACCCCTTCCTCCCTCCGCCTCCCGCCTCCGCCCCGTCCCGTCCTGAGGCCCGAGGGCGGGGGGCCCGGGCGTGCGGGGCGGGGGCGCGCGAGGGGCGGGGGCGCGCCACCAGCGCGGAGCCTGCCGGGAGCTGTAGTTTCCTGGCGGGCGCGAGCGGGTGTCAGTCGCGCGTGGGTGTCCCTCGCGGTCTTCACTCCGCTCACGGGCAGCCGGACCCCTCGCATTTTGGGGGGCTCGTACTGCACCCCCCGTAATCTCGGCGTCTCCGTGAGCGCGGGGCCGCGGGGCGTCACCGTATATTCAAACCAGTTATGCGCGGTGCTGGTTGCCAATCCTTGCCACCGAGCTGCCTTTCTCTCTTTTGTTGTCCGCTCTAGCGGAGGCGATGGTGGCAAGGAAGCGAGAGGTGACGACTTGCACCGGGGACTTGTAAGGGTTCCAAGCAGACAACAGTTTCTGTCCCGAGGTTATCTTTCCCCTGCTCCCCCCAGTTCCGTCCCTCCTGCCCACCCTGCTGGGGGCCGCCGGCGGAGCGCCGCCGCGTTCCGCACCTGGGCAGATGCATCCAGAGCCCGCCACCTAAAGCATAGGAGCTACGTTCAGTGTGTTTTGTGTCTCCTGCTTGGCCATCTTTAAATTCGAGTGTGTCCCCCTACGTCAAAGTGAAGTGCAGCCAAGAATCAGGAGCCCGGGCTTCCACCTGCTTGGAAACAAGGTGGAAGGTCCGGCGAAGGGTGGCGGAGGTGGAATTTCGGGTGAGGATCTGAAGGGAAGATGCGCTCTGTGTTAAATGACAGACCTTTTATGCGAGAGAAGCCTGAGCAGCCGCCAGCCATGGTCCCAGAAACGACCTAATTCTCCTTACCCCAAAGTGTTCTCCCGAAAGTACTGAAGTCAAATGGACTGCAACAAGCGATGGGCGACAGTTGACAACCCTTCCATCCCCAAGCACAGGTCAGGAGGGCAGTTTTTGAGAACAGAAAGGAAAGTAAGTTGAGGGGATCCCTACTTCTTGTGCCAAGTCATCAATCTCAATGACGGTTCGAGGATTTAAAGTTAAGAAATGGGAATTTTAAAAATAATTTATATCGAAGATGGGACAAGTAAAATCATATGTAACGCTGATCCTACTCCGAAGCTGTTTTTCAAAAGTCATTTCTGAAACATTCTCAGGAATGGGAAACTGTTAAATGGGTCACATTCAGTAGTATCTATCTACCTAATTCAATCTAATTATATCTTACACTTTGTCTTCTTCTGCCATTCTTTCACTGTGAAATTGAAAGTAAATTCATTCACTCATTTGCATTCTTTTTTTAAAGAATGCTCTTACCTAACTTTGCCTTTTTCTTCCTTCCACTTCCCAACAGACATTTTAGTCCAGCCCCAAATATCCTCTCTCAGCAAGATTCCCAGGACCTCATTGGAGCTGTCTCCAGCCAGTCCCATCTCACTAGTGACTTCCATTTTCTCTCGTGGTCCTTAAAGAGACATGTTACTCTCCTGGAAGTAACTTTTCTAAAAGAATCAAGCTGCTATTATATAAAGGTGTAAGGATTTGTCTCTGTGTGTGAGAATTCCACATAACACCTCTCTTTACTTGCATTTATCTTTGGCTTTATGTAATTTAGCATTTGATTATATACTATGTTAGAGTTGTATCTGCAAATATGAGCATATGTATATATCTAAAATACATATGCAGATATATTTATAACATACAGTGAATCAAAGAGAGGTGTGTTAAGGATGGTTCAAGTCAAAAGAGAATTAGAAAAATCTGATAACTGGAGGGAGAGATTATGGCATATGCTCTACCTAGGATTTCATTTGGTGCCCTAAGAGTTAAAATTCAGGTAATTGGCAATAAAAACCCCAAATATCTTCCTCATCCTCTGTAATTCCTGTTTATTTTTGTGGCTGCAAATAGTATGTTTCTCCAACGAAGAGAAGGTAATACATACATGTACTTCTGGATCTCATTTTAATTGAGTATTAATGAAAAAAAATCCTTCTTTTGAAATACTATAAACTGGTTATAATATATTTAAAAAGCCAACCGAGAAAGAGTACAAAGATGCTATAGACCTAGTTAGGGAACTGATACTAGAATTAATTTTCATACCAGCGCTGACCAGAGCAGAGGAATTAAGGAAGTGGATTCCCACATTCAAAGTCCGGAAACTGTACCAGCCCTCAAAGGCCAGTTGAAAGGGAAAGATTAGGATGGGACTTTGAAGACAAAGTCCAGTGTAGGCTCTGCCATTTAGTAGCTGCATGCTACTTAATCTCACTAAGAATTGATTTCCTTACCTGTGAAATGAGGGGAGATAATTACTTACTCCATAGGGTTGTATGAAAATTAAATGAGGAAAAAAAGTTCATCCTAATGCACTACACATATAAAGGGCATTAAAGGTAGTCTACCTGGTTGTGAGTCATCATTCTGCTATTTAACAAGCTGTGTGACCATAAGCAGGTTAACCTCTGTGTGCTTCAGTCTCATCATCAGTTAACTTAGATGATAGTAGCCCTTACCCCGTGGGATGTATAAGGACTAAATGAGATAACATGTGGGGAAACATTTAAAAAAATTCACACGGTGAATGCTCAATAAATGTAAGCTATTATTATTCACATTAAACAGTTGTAGTTTTCTAGGTCTCCACGACTCCTCCTATCCTGGCAACACAGAGAAAGAAAAGTTACTCAGCTTGATTCTATGGAGGAAAATTTAAAATAATAACAAAGAGTTTAAAAAGAACAGGAATCCCTTTGGCCATAGAAAGAATTCCTCTTCACTTCATCAAAGGAAGATCCTACTGCACCGACCCTCAACTGACCAGAAGGCATCACCATCACATTTTCCACACTGATAACTTCAAGTGTTCCCGTGCAGGAAAAATCCCTGAAGGGTATATGTTTGTTGATTTTATTACTAATATAGTTAGTCAGACTAGAACAACTGAAGCATTTGACTATAATCTGTACTCTGATCATACACCTCAAATTTCAAAATCTCAGGTATCTCTAGAAAGAATTGTGACTTTATAACCCTAGGTTTTAAACTGTCTCAAAGTTCCTTAAATGATGATGAAGTGTTTAGATGCAGGCAAATCAATGTTAACTTAGTTTGTCTTTTTGCCTACATTTCCCTGGAAACTTTGCAGTCCTTGATGTATTGATTCAATAATCATTTTTTTTTCGAGAGACTACTATGTATGTGCAAGGCTCTTAATGGAGCTACAGGTAAAACAAACGTTCTCAGGAACCTAAAGTTTATTAAATAAGATATGGGAAAATCTCTAATACAAAGAAGAGAGTGGGAGGCAAAATAAATAGTTGGCAGATGTCAGAGAAGACAAGACATACCCCTGACCTGGGGAAGGCTGAATGCATGGAAAGAGATCATTGTAGCTGGGCTTTGAGGAAAGAGTAGGATCTGGAAATATGGGGAGAAGAATGGGAGATGTAAGAAAATTCTAGGTGGAAGCAACAGTGAGCAAAAGCACATAGGTGTGAAAATATGGGCACATCTGTGAACCAAGTGGTTTTAGTTAGGTTGAGCCATTGGGATTTTTTCTTCTTCACAATTTTTAAAAATCCAGATGCAATTTATAAACTATAAAGTTCACCCTTTAAAAGTATGCAATTTACTAGTTTTTAGTATATCTATAAAGTTACACAATACCACACTATCTAATCTGAGAATAGTTTTATCACTCTCCAAAACAAACCCCTTACCCTAGAGCAGTTGCTTTCCATTACCCCCAAAGGTGACCAGCTTATCCTGTGGGCTCCCACTGGAGACACAGGTGCTTGCAGCTGGAAGCCCTAAGGTGGGCAGGCACCTGAGTGCTGAGTATGGAGGGGGTACTGACAAGATATCTGCTGTATCCACTACATATGGCTTCACTCTGTATCTCTAGTCTTGATCTCTTTCTGTAACCACCTGAATGTCCCATAGAAAGATCACAAATTCAGTGTGTCTCTAGCTGAACTCATCTTTTCTTCTTCCTGCATGCATTTCCAATCTTAGTGCATACTCCTACCATCTATTTAGTGATCCAAGACAGAAGCTTCTTGGTGAGCCTGAACTCCTTTTCCCTTGTTCTCCAAATCTAATTGGTGACTAAATCCCATCAATTTCATACCATCAGTTTCCTGTGTGGTATACTGTTTCTTCTCTTTTTTAAAAAATTATATTTTATTGATTATGCTATTACAGTTGTCCTCATTCCCCCCCTTAACTCTCCTTCACCCAGCACCCCCGAGTCCCTCAGGAAATCACCCCCCCCTAAGTTCTTTGGCTACTCCAGTTCCTATACTGTACTTTACATCCCCATGGATATTCTGTAACTACCTATTTGTACTTTTTAATCCCCTCACCTCTTCAACCATACCCCACACACCCCTCCCACCTAGCAACCATTAAACGCTCTGCATCCTGGCTGGTGTGGCTCAGTGGATTAAGTGCCAGCTTGCAAACCATGAGTTGCCAGTTCTATTCCTGCTCTAGGGCACATGCCTGGGTTGTCGACCAGGTCCCCAGTAGGGGGTACCTGAGAGGTAACCACACATTGATGTTTCTCTTTTTCTCCCTTTCCCTTTCTAAAAATAAATAAATAAAATCTTTTAAAAAATGCTCTCCATATCCATGATTCTGACTCTGTTCTTCTTGTTTACTTAGTTTGTTTTTTAGATTCAATTGCTGATAGATTGTATTTTTTCCATTTTATTGTACATAGTTTTGATCTTCTTTTACTTAAATAAGTCCCTTTAACATTTCATATAATCATGGTTTGGTGATGATGAACTCCTTTAGTTTTTTCTTGTCTGAGAAGCCCTTTATCTGCCCTTCAATTCTAAGTGATAGCTTTGCTGGGTAGAGCAATCTAGGCTGTTAGGACCCTACTTTTCATGACTTTGAATATTTCTTGCCAATTCCTTCCAGCCTGCAAAGTTTCTTATGAGAAATCAGCTGACAGTCTTATGGGGTCTTCCCCTGTAGGTAACTAACTGCTTTTCTCTTACTGCTTTTAAGATTCTCTCTTTATC